CCTGTGAGTGGTTTCCTACACGTGTCTGAGACTGTAGACTTCCCATGTTATCTATACTTTCCTCCTCTATTTCTCCCCTTTGCTTTCCCTCTTCCATCCACTTCAGTCGGCTTTTGTCTCCATTGCATCACTGAAAGAGCTCTTATCAAAGTCACCAATGACTCATATCTTGTGATGGTCAGTTCTCTGTTCTGCTCCCACTTGACCTCTCAGGACATCATTGAAGCCTTGGTGTATTAAGATGAGATCCAAGGACACTCAGTCCTATTGCACATTTCTTTTAACTTTTTGAAGCCCTTTCATCTCCAGACATCCTTGTCACCTCACTGGCCTCACTGGCCTTCCATCTCACCAGCTGTACCTTGTCTGTTTTCTCTGTCAGCCCCTCATTCTCTCAATGTTGGAGCACCCCAGGGTCTGTCTTTGTCTTCTCTTCTCTCTACATTTTCTCCCTCGATGATCTCACATTGTAGGCCCATGGTTTAAATTGATCTGATGACTCTCAAATTTATATCATCCAACCTAAACCTCACCTCTGAGTTCCCTGGTCAACTCCACCTGGACTTTGAAAAGATATCTCAAAACCGATATGGCCAAAGTAATTTTTGACCCAGCTCCTCTCGCCCCCTCTCTTCCTGATCTTCCTCACCATTGTAAAGGACAGCAACATCTACCTAGCTGCTCAACGTAAAAGCACTTGGGGTCATCCTTGATTTCTCTTTTCCTCACATTCCACACCCTGTCTGCCAGTAAGCCCTGTTGGCTCCATCTCCATGATATATCCCCAACGCAACCTCTTGTCACCATTTCCAGGGCTGTGTCCCTAGCCCAAGCCACAGCCTCCAGCTCCGGGACTGTGGCAACGGCTTCCTAACCAGCCCCCCCGCCCCGCCCCCTCAGCCCTCTTGTCCATCCTCCAGGCAGCAGCCTTCTGAAGCATAAATCAGATTCTGGATCAGGTTCCTGCTCAAAACCTAACAGCGACTCTCACTGAAACTGGAAATACGTAAATCTACACTGCTGATCAAAGTTACGAGGCTTCTGCCCATCTGACCCCCGCCGTCTACTCTTCCTCGATACCTTGTGCGAGCCCCAGGGACCTCTCCAAGTGTTTTCCTCTCTCTCGGCCTTTCCACTCGCTGTTTCTTCCGCTTGGAAGCTCTTCTCCCAGATCTTTAGCACATGTCAGTACTTGAGGTTACCCTCTTCATGGATTTGTTTAATACATGCTGCATGTCCCACAACCCCACACTCCTGAACAGAAGGGACTAGAAGCTCTTGCCTGCCTTGCTTCCAGCTGTGTGCCCGGAGCCTAGGGCAGGGCCTGGCATAGGTGAAGCTCAGTAGGATTTGTTGACGCACTTGAGTGTAAGGACTAGAGCTAAAAGTGTCGGAGCTAGAAGAGAAACAGTCAAGCCTTATAGTTTCACATATGGAGAAACAGAGGCACAGATAGAGTCACTTTCTAGCGGCGCGAACACAAGCACGTAAGCCAAGTTGGTCACGCATACTCCTAAGGTCCTTTCCATAAATGGCAGTAGCCACTAAAAGTGAGGGTTAGTTCCTTCCCCCTACAAGCTCCCTGCCAAGTTATCATGGAAACAGATCTCAGAACAAATTCTGTTGCCCATACAAATATTTATAAAACAAACACTTATTAGCAAGTAGCCACAAAACTGGTTCATATAATGTGTTCTGTAAAGTCAGTGAAGGCCCCTGTCTCTGTCCTTTGAGGTGCTCGACCACCTGACATGAAAGGTCCCGGCAAGGAAGATACAACATTCTAGGGGCAGGAGTCAGTTAGACTGATGGTCACATCAGGCAACCAGAATACCCTGGGACATGGGATCCCTCAAGGATCAATCCAGTGTATCATCCCTAAGTGAGATTCTTTTACTCTGAACAGGAATGGGTGGTGATTGAAAACCATTTCAGCCACTCTACATAGCTTGAATACTACTAATTTCACTAAAGGAGAGCTCATTTCCAATACCTGCTATGCTAATTAATGAGGCATAAATTTCACTGATACATTCATTAGGGCATTCTCTATGCTAATCAGTAAAGCTTGGGGTTGGGTGGGGGTGGATTGAGACATGGAGAGCTGCAGAGGCTGTTGAGCTGATTGTGTGTGATTGTGTTCCTTTCTCTAACTCCCAGGTTCATTGACTTTGAGTGGGTAACTTGAAACCAGATATGGTGGAAGTATTTACACTATGGAAATTGGTAACAGGGTCCTCCTCCATGGAGAGACAGTTATTAAACATCAGCATACTGCTGGATAGGTGGAGTGACCTCTGGACTGTGGCCTTTCTGATGAAATGCTGGCTGACCCCTTCACCCTCATGGCTACTCTACACCAGTGATACTCAGTCCTGGCTGCACTTTAGAAAGTACCCGGGCCCTTTAAAAGAATACCGATTCTCAGGTCCCTGTAGGCAGAGATTCTGACTTCACACAGGGCTTGGATATCAGAACGCAGTTAAATCTCACCAGGTGATTCTAATCTGCAGCCAGGGTCACACTCACACCTATATCTATGCCACATAGTCTAACAGTCTCACAAAAAGTTAATGGTAAAACCAGGATTGGCATCAGACCTGCTGATCCCCAGCCCAGAGCTCCTGACAAAAGGAGGGAAAAGTTGAAAATAGCTTGACACTTCTAAGGTCTCAGTGTTTGCAAATATGGCTGAGGAGCAGCCTCAGTACTTGGGGTTCAGGTTGGGGGTGGGGAGGGACAAGGAAGGAACTCAGGAGCATAGGAAAGGCTGTGTAAGCCCCAAAGAACTGCAGGGGTGTCTCAGCTTCATTTTCCAGGACATCTTACAGGGACTCAGATGTGTGTGTGTGTGTGTGAATATGTGTGTGTGTGTGTGCATGTAGGTTGGGAGAGGGAAAGGGAGACAGACTAATCCTTCAGAGGACAAGGTGCTGAACTAGCCCTCTAGGAGGTAGAGACCAGCCCCTCAAAGAGTTGGTGTAAGACTAGCTCTGCAGGGCTGGGCGAGGGATAGAGAGTTAGTTTCCTCCTTCTCAAAGGACAGAAAGTGTGACAGCCAGTTAGACATGAGCAGAGCAAGGCTAATAGGCCAAGTACAGAAGGTCACCAGGGTGAAAAGCCCTCAATGCCTAGCAATGAACAACGGTTAATCAGCTTAACAATGACCCACAACCTTCGGACCAACTGCAATGGACAATTGCAGGGTGGGACCTCGTCCCTAGGGTGACCTTTCCTCCCTTAGGATATCTCTGGTCATGTAGTTTGGACCCCTTGACCTTTATTCCTTAGAGATAGGCTTCAGTAGTATTTCAGCTCCGGGCCCAGAACAGCCAGACAAGCCACATTGGGGCTGACCTCAGACGCAGCTGCATTGGATAATGACCCCTACTCTGGCACTGACCAATCAATCAGTGGAGAACTATACCCTGAAAGGACACACCTGGAAAGCTGCTGAAAAGTCTATTGAGACCTTCCTCTGGGACCTCCCCTAAAATCTCCCCCCTTAACACGCGTAGGATGGAGTACCCAACGTGCTCTCCCTCCCTGGAGCATGCCTGTCCCCTTGACCTTCCTCACTTCTAAGCTCCCAGGGTCCTTCCTTTGCCTCTATAACCTGTTTACTCAGCACATTTCTTCTATAAGTTACTTCTTCTACCTCTGAGCTTTCCTAAATAAATGTTCTCTTATAGTTGGAGTCTGGGCTCTGAATTCTTTCCTAGCCAGAACTCAAGTACCCAGGTTACTGAACCCTGGTTCAGTTTGACCCCACTGGTCTAACACCTGGTGCCATTGTTGCTGCCACCAACAAAAGGACAACTTTTAACACTGTGGTGAGACGTTTTCTTGGACCTCAGTTATTCACCTGGAGGTAACCTGCAGCAGTTCCTGGTTCCATGTCTCTACCCAAAGTGAACACCCATCAGAGTCTGCTCCTTTTGTGCCATGAAACTGGACTTCCCTTTAACCCTTCAGGGCAGGGCATTGCTCCCTCCCCACCCCCAACCTCACTTTCTTCCCTCTAGGACAGAGCCCTGGGGACTGGGCTGGCCAAGCGGCTGTCTCTCTCTAGGAGTCTGTACACAGGAGGCTTGGGAGTCCAGGACAAGGGACCTGGACAAGGGTGACATTCTTGTAGTTACCACCAGGGACCCCACTCAGCACTGCTCATGACCTCTGGGCCACACATGTTATTACCAAAGACAGACTCCCAGGCTGAGCGCGGCCTGGGACACAAGGAAGCATCGGTGAGTCAAGTTGGGCCATCCAGCTGTGGGAGAGACTCACAGCCATCTGACTCCAGGCAGAGGAATGGCCTGGTGGGAAGAGGCTGGGTCACCCTGGGCTGAGTGTGTGCACGGAAGGGGGTCCCTAACCTGGCCCGAGGATGGGAATGGAGGAGGGCTTCCCAGGGAAGGAGGCCCCTGAGGGAAGGGTTGGGATCTCACCCGGCCACTGAGAAGGAGATTCCGGGAGACTGGTTGGGGAAAGGGGGATCTGTTACCAAAGGAAACACAAAGGAAACTCCGGCCCCAGCTCCATGCGGAGCACCTTAGCCCTACCCTGGTATGCTGCACCTTCCTAGGTGGGGCACTCCGCCCTCCTCAGGCTGAGCAATTCCACTTCCTGGTTACACTTCAGATCTTGCACATTTTAGCACTTTAGCGGTTAGGTTCTGCCTTTTCCCCATAGTTTTCCTTCTTGACAACAGTGGAAAGTGTGCATTTCTACGTACCCTGGATTAGGCACGCTCGCTCTCTCCCTACTGCTCCTCTGTACACCTTCTCTCACGCCCCATTAGTACAGGCGTTCCCAGAGTTGCACGCGACCTCCTTTGCAAAACCCTCGACCCCTCCGCTCCTCGGTTCTCCTAGTCGGGGTCTTGGGCCGTAGTCCCGCCCTCAGCCTGCCTCCTCCCAGAGGCTGGGCCGGTGCCTCGCGCCCATTGGCCACTGGGGCTGGCTGGTCCCAGGCCCCGGCTGTGATTGCAGCTCGCTGGTGTCAGTCCCCGAGCGAGCGCCGGTGGCTGGGCTGGTAGCCCGGCAGGCAGCCGCAGGTGGAGCTGCTCGCTGCCAGGGACCTAGCCAGGGGGCCCCCGGAGCCCCGCGCCCGGTGTGCCCAGGATGCCCCGCGGGGACTCAGAGCAGGTGCGCTACTGCGCGCGCCTCTCCTACCTCTGGCTCAAGTTCTCGCTCATCATTTACTCCACAGTGTTCTGGGTGAGTGACCCCAGGAGGGCCCGGGGATGGAGGTTGGGGCACACTCCCTCGACAGCTCCACACTGAGCCCGGGGTGGGGTCCAGACTTGGCTGCTCTTGGGAGGGCGCAGGAGCGCACGCCTGACTCCGCGTCCCACTCACCCTGGGAACCAGGAAATTTGGCGGCCGAGCTCAGCCTGAATTTCGGCCGCCTGGTCGGGAGTTGGAACTAGTTGGCGGAGAAGCACCACCTAGCTCACCTGTGTGCACTTGACCAGCGGTTCCGTCCTCCGCGTTAGCTTCGCCTCCGCTGCGCTGGGGCGGTAGGCCGTGGTTCCCGCGTCGGCGTGCCCACCCCGCCCGCGGGGCAGTCCCGAGTCCACCGCCCCATCAGCCTGTGGAGGAGACGTGGTCAGGCGTTGTGGCCCTGGGCTCCCGGTCCCGCCCCCACTATTTACTTGCTGATGCCCCCGAGCAAGATGCTTTCCCCCTGCTCTTGGTTTCCTCTTGAGAGAAAGGAGGATGTACCAGGAGGATGTGCGTGCCTTCTCCGCGGAGTGGTTGGGAGGATTGCACCAGATGACATCTGGGGAGGTCTCCAGCCACTCCTAGTAACTACTAACACGCCCACTGGGCTTGACCCCCTCTTCTGTCTTGATTTGGGGCAGAATGGTGGTAGTTGGACATAAACCAGCCTTCGAATCCTGCCGATACCACTTTCTAGCTGAGTGATCTTGGGGAAGTTCCTTCGATTCTCTCTAGGCCATAGTTATCTCATCTGCAAATGGACACTAATTACGTCCAACTTTTAAGATAGTTGTGGAGCTTAAATGAAGTCGGCCAAGTACAGTGCTTAGCACAGGGACCAGTGAAGAGCTCAAGTGTAAACCCTTTTTATTATTGTGGGCGGGGAACCTGGGTCCTCCTGGTAAACTGTCTCAAGAGACTGGATCTCTTTATGGAGATTTCAGGCTAGGCTGGCTCTCACCTAGAAAAGAGGACATCTTTCTACAGTCCAGTTCCAGTCCTGCCAGTGAAGAATAGGCCCCTGCCCCCAGTATGCCACAGGGCAGACTTCCCCAGAAAGGGGAAAGGGAGTCACTGACTCCCATTCCCCCGAAACACTCACACTCCTGGTCTCCCCTTCAGCCGCTCACTGGGTCTATTCTACTGGCAAGAACTGCTAGATCTGCCGTCAGGCCTGGCTTTCCATGTGACCCCCCTGCAGGTGTGACCTTGCCTAGTGGTCAAGGGATCCAGATTGCAGTTGTATTGTTACTGCACTGGGAGATCTTAGGCAAGTCACTTGACAGTTGGGGGCCTCAGAGCTGTTAAGTGACTTGCCCATCTAGATCTATGACACTATGTAATGTTGAAGAGAGATGAGCAGTATGTTTGGGGGCCAGAGGATGGAGCAGAGACCTGTTGGTGGAAACTCCAGGAGGCAGCAGGGTGAATGTGGGATTGAGGTGGGGTGATTTGAGCTTTCATTTAGTGGTTCTCTCTCAATGGTACATCAGAGTCAACTAGAGAGTTTTAAAAACACTGCAGATGCCTAGGCATAGGTATTTATTTTAACTTAAGTTCTTTAGGTAATTCTAGTGTGTAGTCAGGGTCAAAAACTGCTGGGCTAGATGGTCTCATAGGCCCCTCGATTCTGATTCTGGGATTCTTTGCCTGCCCCTTGCTTGTCTGGCCTCAGGAACTCTTTTCTCGGAAGGTCAGAGTTGAAAGAAGGAAGGCTAAAATTGATGGGTGAGGAGGTGGGAAAATAGGGAAGACCAGCCCTGGCCCATTTGGTCCAGTGGTTAGAGCATTGGCCCACTGACTGGAGAGCCCTGGGTTCAGTTCTTGCTAAGGGCACGTACCTTGGGTGTAGTTTGTCCTCGGTCCCATTTGGGTTGTGTGGGTGGCAACCACTCGATGTGTCTCTCTCACATCGGTGTTTCTCTCTTCTTCCCTCTCTCCCTCCTGCTCTATATGAAGATAAATGCAAAAATGTCCTTGGGTGAGGATAAAAAAAAAGAAAGAAAGAAAATAGGGAAGACCAGGAGTCAGAAGGCGGGGGTTCTGTTTCCGGCCTCGCTCCTTCTCTCCACATACAATCACTGAGTAGTCTCTTAACCTCCCTGTGCCTCCATTTTCCCACCTGTAAACTGGATAACTGATGCTGTGCTCCACACCCCACTGGACTGTTTTTAGGATCAGTGATGGGAGAGAGTGACACGTGGACAAGCCAAATGCTATACAAAAGAAAGTTATGCCATTAAAACTAAACTTGCCTTGGCTGATGTGGCTTGTTGGAGCATCGTCCCATGCACTGGAAGGTCTTGGGTTCAGTTCCCAGTCAGGGCACACACCTAGGTTTTGGGTTTGATCCCTGGTCTGGGTGAGTATGGGAGGCAAAAATCAACGTATGTCTCTCACATCAATGTTTCTCTCTCTCTCTCTCTCTCTCAAATTAATTAATAAACAAAAACAAACCTTGAAATTTCAAGGCCTTGTTCTGCCATTGTCCCCTGCAGCCCAGAGAGAACACCTTATGGCCCTTGCTTTGCTTTGTCTCTTGGGGCAGGGTGGACTCAGAACTTAGAATCCTTCCTCTCCAGCCAACTGAGCTTGCCTTAGCAAGTCCTTGACTTCCCATTGCTGGAAGAATTTCTGCTTAAAAATCTCCCCACCCATGCCAAGAACTCAGCCACCTGCCGACTCTGCCAGGGCAGCTCCAGGTGCCAGAGTTTGACTGCAGGGTGGAGACCCAGTGTGAAGAAGTAATTTGCTTGAGACTGGGTTTGCAGTTAATTGGAAATCATTACAGGAAAACCCATTATGTCCGCTACCATCCCTTGGGAGGAGGAGAGGTGCCAAGGGTTACTTGCTTTATAAGCCCAAAGTGTTAACTCTTGAATTTCAGTCTTTAGGTCTGGAAGGGGCCATACATTTTTACCATAACCTTGCACCTTCTGTAAGGTTTTTTGCTTTAAAACTTATTATCAAATAAGGACATTATACAAAATTTTAAAGTACAAAAGGGTAGTTACCAGTTACAAGCCTCCCTCCTACCCCTCTCCCCTGGCCTGCGCTGTTCAGAGGGGACATGTATTATCGGTTTCTTGTGATTCTTTTCTGAGTTAGTATCCTAGCCCTAGACACATTCATGTGCATATATTATATTCTTTTTTTTTTCCACATTAGGTAGCACACTATACACAGTTCTGCCCTTACCTGTTCATTTAAATTTAAATCCATGTAAATTTTGGAGCTCATTCTGTTTGATGGCTGTATAGAATACACCGTTGGCTATGCCAAAATGTATTTAATCAGTCCCCAGCTAGGGAACTCAGGTTGTTTCCAATTTCTAGTTACTGTAAACAGTGCTGCAGTGAGCATCTTTGAACATGTTGCTTTGCACACACGTGCGTGTCTGCAGGGTAATTTCCGGAACTGGAATTGCTGGGTTAAAGGGTATGTGACTGTATGATATACATACAGAAATGCACTGATCATATGTGTATACAGCTTGATGGATTTTTACAAAGTGAACACACCTGTATTATGAGCCGCCAGGACAACCAACAGAATGGACAGCAGAAGCCAAAGTGCCCCTTGTTCCCACTTCCAGCCCCTACCCCTTGCCTCCAGTGGGCATCTCTGCTGGAATGTCCAATAGCGTGAGGCAGCTTTATCTAGTTTTCCTACGTGCGCTTACAAGGTTGATAAATGTTAAATTGCCACACATAGAGGTTTTACTAAGTGTAACATTATTTGCTGTATTTCTGTAAACAGACTCACTTTTTAAACTTGAATTTGTTTTTAAAAGAAGGATTTATATCACTACTCCCAATGGGAAAACAATATTCTCTCATTAAAAATAGCAGGTAATGGTTACAATAAATCCAGTGCAAGGAAAACAAAACAATGTTATTAAATCCTAGCTAGATATTGTGGGTACTGTTGGCTGTGAACCCGAGGCCTGCCCTTTTTGTTCAGAAAGCAGGTTGGCAAGTGTTTCAGAGTCTTAAAGACAAACTGGCACCAAAGCTGAGATTTGCTCCTTTATGAGATACGGAGGATCGGAATGGAATTGAGCAATGAAAACTTTTCTCAGTCTCTGATTCGATATGAGTATGACCTTGAACCACTTATAGTGATCTCCTACTTCACACTTGCTGGTCCTCTCGCTTTCAGAGGGGGACCTCAGGCCTAGAGAGGATGTAATTCAGGCTCACTCGGCAAAGTTGGCACGAACCCCCAGGTGTCCTCACTCCCAGTTAACTGCTCCTTCTGGTAGGTTGCTGAGGATTCTCCATTAGCAATGAGCTCACCCAGAGGCACTTGGAACTAACTCTTCCCACCATGCATGGTGAATCATTCTGACACATGTGCCCTCAGCCCACTGGGGACACACCTCTATTTTTAGCACTCACCACAGGGTATTCTAGAGATCCATTTACAGGACTGTTTTTCCTTGCTGGACTGTGGGCTCCTGGAGATCAGAGGTGTAGCTCATTCATCTCTTCTTCCGAATGCTGGTCTGGGGGCTGGGCACCCAGTAAGTGCTCAGGGAAGGCCTGCTGCATTGGGGTGGTTGAGTGCCAGTCTGTGCCTTGTAAGGATCTGAGATGGCAGTGCCTGGATTAGAGGCTGAGCAGGGTGTGTAGCCAGCTGAGGTCTTGAATGTGCGAAGTGGGCAGGGCTGATCATGGAGACCTGGCACTCTGGGAGTATTAGTAGTAATATTAGGAAGAAGAGAACTTAGGGGGCAAGTGGGAAGGCATAGGATGTGGGTAAGTAGTGATGGCAATAAGTGTCAGAGGCAATATTAACTTTTCTTTGCCTTGTCCAAGCATGGACCCTGTTATCAAAGCTTGGCCTGTGAGTCTTTATATATCCTTATAATTATTTTAAAAATATTTTTTCTTTATTGATTTTACAGAGAGAGGAAGGGAGAGGGAGAGGGAGATAGAAACATCAATGAGAGAAAATATTGACTGGCCACCTCCTGCATGCCCCCCACTGGG